CTCAGACCAACACTTACTGTAATTGTCAGGGTCTAATACACTATCGCAGACTGACACTGTATTGTTAGGGCCTAGAACACTATTTAAGACCAACACTTACTGTCATTGTCAGGGTCTAATACACTATCTCAGACTGACACTTACGGTCATTGACAGGGGCCTAATACACTAACTCAGACCAACACTTACTGTAATTGTCAGGGTCTAATACACTATCTCAGACTGACACTGTATTGTTAGGGCCTAGTACACTATCTAAGACCAACACTTACTGTCATTGTCAGGGGCCTTATACACTATCTCAGACTGACACTGTATTGTTAGGGCCTAGTACAGTACCTCAGACTGACACTTACTGTCATTGACAGGGGCCTGATACACTATCTAAGACCAACACTTACTGTCATTGTCAGGGGCCTGATACACTAACTCAGACCAACACTTACTGTAATTGTCAGGGTCTAATACACTATCTCAGACTGACACTGTATTGTTAGGGCCTAGAACACTATCTAAGACCAACACTTACTGTCATTGTCAGGGGCCTTATACACTATCTCAGACTGACACTGTATTGTTAGGGCCTAGTACACTACCTCAGACTGACACTTACTGTCATTGACAGGGGCCTGATACACTATCTAAGACCAACACTTACTGTCATTGTCAGGGGCCTGATACACTAACTCAGACCAACACTTACTGTAATTGTCAGGGTCTAATACACTATCTCAGACTGACACTGTATTGTTAGGGCCTAGAACACTATCTAAGACCAACACTTACTGTCATTGTCAGGGGCCTTATACACTATCTCAGACTGACACTGTATTGTTAGGGCCTAGTACACTACCTCAGACTGACACTTACTGTCATTGACAGGGGCCTGATACACTATCTAAGACCAACACTTACTGTCATTGTCAGGGGCCTGATACACTAACTCAGACCAACACTTACTGTAATTGTCAGGGTCTAATACACTATCTCAGACTGACACTGTATTGTTAGGGCCTAGAACACTATCTAAGACCAACACTTACTGTCATTGTCAGGGGCCTTATACACTATCTCAGACTGACACTGTATTGTTAGGGCCTAGTACACTACCTCAGACTGACACTTACTGTCATTGACAGGGGCCTGATACACTATCTAAGACCAACACTTACTGTCATTGTCAGGGGCCTGATACACTAACTCAGACCAACACTTACTGTAATTGTCAGGGTCTAATACACTATCTCAGACTGACACTGTATTGTTAGGGCCTAGAACACTATCTAAGACCAACACTTACTGTCATTGTCAGGGGCCTTATACACTATCTCAGACTGACACTGTATTGTTAGGGCCTAGTACACTACCTCAGACTGACACTTACTGTCATTGACAGGGGCCTGATACACTATCTAAGACCAACACTTACTGTCATTGTCAGGGGCCTGATACACTAACTCAGACCAACACTTACTGTAATTGTCAGGGTCTAATACACTATCTCAGACTGACACTGTATTGTTAGGGCCTAGAACACTATCTAAGACCAACACTTACTGTCATTGTCAGGGGCCTTATACACTATCTCAGACTGACACTGTATTGTTAGGGCCTAGTACACTACCTCAGACTGACACTTACTGTCATTGACAGGGGCCTGATACACTATCTAAGACCAACACTTACTGTCATTGTCAGGGGCCTTATACACTATCTCAGACTGACACTGTATTGTTAGGGCCTAGTACAGTACCTCAGACTGACACTTACTGTCATTGACAGGGGCCTGATACACTAACTCTGACCAACACTTACTGTAATTGTAAGGGTCTAATACACTATCTCAGACTGACACTGTATTGTCAGGGGCCTGACACACTATCTAAGACCAACACTTACTGTCATTGTCAGGGTCTAATACACTATCTCAGACTGACACTTACGGTCATTGACAGGGGCCTGATACACTAACTCAGACCAACACTTATTGTTACCTGACTCGCTATATAAATGCATACTCATGTTGACTGGTCACCGTAAAACTGTTGACTGGTCACGTGAAACTGTTGACTGGTCACGTGAAACTGTTGACTGGTCACGTGCAACTGTTGACTGGTCACATGTTAGGTAATCGAACGAACGCACCTATAATTACAAGCACCCCGATGACCAAGCGTTTTTGGTACTGGATTGTTGACGGTTGTCTGTCGGTAGATCTAAACATCACATTTGACATAGAACTTTTTTCATTGGTCAAGTAACAAAACAGTTGTTTCATGCCTTATCAGTCAACAGTCAAAACCATTTTCCCTCGGAGTTGGGACCGACCAAATGAACTGTTTCCCTCGGCCTGCGGCCTCGGGAAACAGTTCATCTGGAGGGTCCCAACTCCTCGGGAAAATAGTTTTGACTGTTGACTGATAAGGCATGAAACAACTGTATACTGTAATTGTCAGGAGCCTTATACACTATCTCAGACTGACACTGTATTGTTAGGGCCTAGTACACTATCTAAGACCAACACTTACTGTCATTGTCAGGGTCTAATACACTATCTCAGACTGACAATGTATTGTTAGGGCCTAGTACACTATCTAAGACCAACACTTACTGTCATTGTCAGGGTCTAATACACTATCTCAGACTGACACTGTATTGTTAGGGCCCAATACACTTACCATCATGGTCAGGGAATGACGATTCATCATCCCTCTGTACTCGGCTCAAAGGCTGAGAGGATTCATAGCCTGGGACTTGATTTCGATCAGTTTTCGGTCTGAAAATGAAGTCCAAAGGAATAATTTTACTCATATATATACATATAAATTAATAGTACAGAGTTTTATTTGTTATCTGAACTTGAAAAGAAAATTGAAATGTGTCCGTTAATTTGAGACCATGGCGGCTTTAATTTGTTCAGGGCCATGAGATCATTATTTTTATCAAGTTGAGATTATTTATTTTCATCAAGTTGAGAAGAAGTTAAAATGTCACTGCAAATTATATACATTGTACGTAATTGCTGATTGTTCATCTCTGACTGTAAACTAACTTGTTCACAATCAAAGATGAGCAATTATAATTTAAAAATTTGTGCGAGACATTTTAAACTTTTTTTAACTTGATAAATATAATAAACACCGATATAATAAGGGTTACGAGAGAAACAAATGTACAAAGATTTGTAAAATACTGGCTTGACAGAAGTGAACTTTTTGTCCAATTTCCCATACTGAGCTCCCAAAGAAAGATACACTTTCCATTATATAATTATCCATGGCCAATTAGGTCGAAATCCCTTCCCTTGCATCTCAGAAGTTAGCCTTTTCAAAGATGAACAATTATATCAGTCTATATTTCATGTATTTTTACCATTTTTATTGGAATTTTGAGGGGTTCATTGTTTCTGAAAATTATCTGAAAATATTTTCATAAATTTGTGTTGAGTGAATATCAACGCAAACAACAAGTTGCTCAGATGAAATTGATTTTGCTCTGCCATTTTAATTTTTGCCTTACAAAACGAAAGCAATACAATTTTATGTTAGGAGAACAACTCACTTTATCGCTTTATCTTTCCAAATCATTCCACAGGGAAACATGAAAATATTGTCAGACAGAAAATCAGGTAAATCTGAGGGTGTAAATGTCATGTCGGTGGTGCAACAACTGACTCCAGAAAAAATCAGCGATAAAAGATAAGAGAAGCATCTGCAGGTTGTAAAACATTTGTTCAAGCCTGGGGCTAGTTGACACTATACTAGCCCAAAATAAAATTCAGCTAGCCTGACAGTTACCTAATGTATCCAGCTGACAACATGATCATATGATCTATATCACATTCACAAATAGATATGCTTGTATTTAAACAAGCTAAGAGGCCCACGGGCCTTAATAGCTCACCTGGTATATTGTTTTCAATTTAAACCTGCAGAGAAGTATACCTGTTTATCAACAAGTACAAGAAATACAAACTGCAATAAGGACCAATAACTCAATACTATTGGCTGGGAAAGACACCAAGAACATGAGTGTGGTCTTCATGCCCAGCAAGAATCAAAATGTTTCCATGTTATGACCAAGGGAGGTAGTCTCCAGGGGTTGATCTGGACCTCCTGGCCAATCCTGGTAGCATGAATGTTTAATTCTCTTCATGCCTAGCAATTGTATGTTTTGTTATAGGGTGGGGATAAAATCCCTCCATTCATACAGAAGGTGAAGGAATTCATTGATTCACCTGTATTATTTCCTTCTAGCCCAACCCCTCAGCACCCGAGGAGTCAATCCCTCCAAAGGTAACACTTTTAATCCCCACCAAGAATGTTTCTGGACAAATATGGTTGATAGCCATTTTTAGCTTCAGATAAGAAGTCGCTTAAAGCAATATGGTCAAATTATCCCCCTTTTGGCACCACCCCTCAGCCACATGGATGATACTTATCTCATAGTTGTATGCTTCTAACCAAACATATTGTTGATATTCATTTTTTAGTTCAAGAGAAGAAGTCACTTTAATCAATATGGCCAACTTACCCTTATTCGACACCGCTCCTCAGTTAGGACTAATAAAATAAAAGTTTACAGTATTTATTTTAGTGCTTGTTACCTGTATTGCATAAGCTTGGCAAGGTCGCCATCAGGAAACTGCTCCAACGTCTTTCTTCTGCACTCAGAGACATTCGATATTCTGGCTAAAAGTATTCCAACGAGCCCGCCAACTGTAACAGACAACATATTGTAACTTTCTGAACATGCCAAAAATTAAACAAAAATAAATCAACTATGTTTTAGTGACTTCATATACAACTGTACAACAACAAGAGGCCCAAGGGCCTTAGCGGTCACCTAAGTTATATCATAGGTACTGGTAGCTTTATTTTATTGTTTAGATGCGATGTGGAAATCAGCATGTAAACTAAGTGAAATACAATACTTGTCATGTCATCAAAGGATAAGAATTTGAAAATATTGGTAAATGTTCCCTTTGGGGCCCCGCCCTAGCCCCTGGGGATGGGGCAGGAATCCTAATTTTACAAAGTAATACTCTCATTCACCAAAGATGATTCTGACTAAGTTTGAGTAATTTTCTGCTGAAAAGCTCGGGGGTTCTGAAATTTACGATTTAAATAAAGCCCCTGATGATTTTCTTTCCATGCAAAGAAAATGAATGTAGTACCTCTGAGTCTGGAGGAGAAACATTTGGAAATATTGGTTAATTTTCCCTTTGGGGCCCCGCCCTGGCCCCTAGGGTTGGGGTAGGAATCTCAATTTTACAATTTGAAACCATCTTCCTCCAAGGATAATTCTCACCAAGTAAAAATAATTTCCTATAGAAAGTTGTCAAAATATACCCAAAAGTGTTATTTCCCTATATAAACTATAGTAAACTTTACCCCATCCCCAAGGGAGAACAAATAGCTCGGGGGTCCTGAAATTTACAATTTAAGTAAAGCCCCTGATGATCTTTCTTTCCATGCAGAGAAAATGAGTGTAGTACCTCTGAGTCTGAAGAAGAAGATTTGGAAATATTGGTTACTTTTCCCTTTGGGGCCCCGCCCTGGCCCCAGGGGTTGGGGTTGTATTCTCAATTTTACAATTTGAAACCATCTTCCTCCAAGGATAATTCTCACCAAGTAAAAAAAAAATCCTACAGAAAGTTGTCAAAATATACCCAAAAGTGTTATTTCCCAATATAAACTATAGTAAACTTTACCCCTCCCCAAGGGAGAACGGATAGCTCGGGGGTCCTTAAATTTACAATTTAAGTAAAGCCCCTGATGATCTTTCTTTTAATGTAGAGAAAATGACTGTAGTACCTCTGAGTCTGGAGAAGAAGATTTTTGAAATATTGATTAATTTTCCCTTTGGGGCCCCGCCCTGGCCCCAGGGGTCGGGGTAGGAATCTCAATTTTACAATTTGAAACCATCTACCTCCAAGGATAATTCTCACCAAGTAAAAATAATTTCCTACAGAAAGTTGTCAAAATATACCCAAAAGTGTTATTTCCCTATATAAACTATAGTAAACTTTACCCCCTCCCCAAGGGAGAACGGATAGCTCGGGGGTCCTGAAATTTACAATTTAAGTAAAGCCCTTGATGATCTTTCTTTCCATGCAGAGAAAATGAGTGTAGTACATCTGAGTCTGAAGAAGATTTTTGAAATATTGGTTAATTTTCCCTTTGGGGCCCCGCCCTGGCAACTCCTTGGGGTAGGAATCCCAATTTTACAATTTTGTAGCCTCATCTACCAAGGATGATTCTGACCAAGTTTGAAAAAAATCCATCCGCTGGTTCTTGAGAAGAAGTTGAAAATGTAAAAAGTTTACGCACGACGGACAACGACGCATTGAAAGCGATTAGAATAGGTCACTTGAGCAAAGCTCAGGTGACCTAAAAATGATATTACATTAAAGGGAGGATACAGCTCCTAATTTTCCCTATCTGATGTGTTTGGCAATAATGTCTAACATTACCGTTCACTGGATTAATGATAATCATACTACAACTGTAGTTTCTGATGGAAGTTATCCATATATCAGTGTACAGTGATTCTGTGGTCACATGATACAATTATCAGTATACAGTGATTCTGTGGTCACATGATACATATATCAATGTACAGTGATTCTGTGGTCACATAATACATATATCAGTGAACAGTGATTCTGTGGTCACATGATACATATATCAGTGTACAGTGATTCTGTGGTCACATGATACAATTATCAGTATACAGTGATTCTGTGGACACATGCTACATATATCAATGTACAGTGATTCTGTGGTCTCATGATACATATATCAGTGTACAGTGATTCTGTGGTCACATGATACATTCATCAGTGAACAGTCACTACAGTGATTCTTTCTAAATTGTCTTTCCAGCACACCACAGTGTTCAACTGCAGCCAAAACTAATATAGAGCAGACAAACAAATTTGTGGATCAAACTCATATCCCATGCATTAAGGACATGCTTTAGATAAAGTGTTATTTTTGAGAGTTACTTTGAACAAGATATGCTAGTATAGAGAATTAAGAGCAGACAAAACAGAAAATGTTTCTTAAAAATGGAGACTTTCTAGTATACACCAATTTCATTGGATACCATAACTAGATTTGACTGATTGATATCCTGAGTTTCGCTTATCTTGGAATAAGACAAGGTGCAGTTATTTGTCCTCATCTATTTGATAAATAGAAATAAATTACAGAAGAGAGATTTTAGGGTCTCTGAAATCATTATTTTCCATACGAAACAGATCTGTTACTAGAGTGATCACCCTTTGATCATAAGTAGGGAATGTTATATTCTGTATAGGGGTTGCTTCCCTTGCCTATACTGTATCTTCAATCGTTATAAATTATTTTATCCTCAGCAAGACTTGTTGGACACTTTGAAAATGAGATGTATTACAATATGGAGCGAATGGAGCCTGAAACATGTCAATATGTATGTGTGCACTAAATTTTGTTGAAATAGGACCATCATTAAGCATAGTAATTACACAGAAACCAATTCTCCAATTAGAATGTAAAAGTGTAATTAATTATACATAAATATGCACAGTTCATATTGATGAGTAAACTTAGTTTTAAACATGTTAATAATTATGTGCACACCACATTTTGTTGAAATGGCACTTATTGCACAGAAACTATTAAGTCAATCAGAATGTATAAGAGTAACTACATGTATGTGTAAATATGCATAGATGACATTGACCAGCGAAGTTAGTCTTAAACATTGTTAATATGTATGTGCACACCACATTTTGTTGAAATCAGAACATTAATACATTGTAGCATAGTTATTGCACAGAAACTGAAATGTGACAAACAGAGTCAGACGAGGGACAAAACTAAGATGGCGGCATCTCTTGCAATTTTTATTAATGATGCATGTTCTGTTATTCCATTTCTCTTGGTAGAGTGAAAGAAAATGGATGTACAGACAGACATACCGGTACAGACAGACATAATGGTACAGACAGACATACCGGTACAGACAGACATACTGGTATGTAAGGGCAACACCAACAGTGAATCTGTCTTAATTAACAAAACAGAGGATAATGGATTCATTCATAGGTAAACAGGGACATATGGATTCATTCATAGTTAAACAGGGACATATGGATTCATTCATAGTTAAACAGGGACATATGGATTCATTCATAGTTAAACTGGGACATATGGATTCATTCATAGGTAAACAGAGACATATGAATTCATTCATAGTTAAACAGGGACATATGGATTCATTCATAGTTAAACAGGGACATATGGATTCACTCATAGTTAAACAGGGACATATGGATTCATTCACAGTTAAACAGGGACATATGGATTCACTCATAGTTAAACAGGGACAAATGGGTTCACTCATAGTTAAACAGGGACATATGGATTCACTCCTAGTTAAACAGGGACAAATGGATTCACTCATAGTTAAACAGGGACATATGGATTCACTCATAGTTAAACAGGGACAAATGGATTCACTCATAGTTAAACAGGGACATATGGATTCATTCATAGTTAAACAGGGACATATGGATTCATTCACAGTTAAACAGGGACATATGGATTCATTCCTACTACAAAGTCTCTAGGTAAAAACAAGTGTTTATGCAGTGGTATGAACCTGCACCTGACATATGAGGTTTCTATACTTTGTTTGTTTGTGTTTTATGTCCTATTGACAGCTGTATATGGTCATTTAAGGATGTGCCAGGTTTTTGCAATGGAGGAAAGCCAGATTTCCTGGAGAAAAACCAACGACCTACGGCCAGTACTTGGCGACTGCCACACATAGGCCTCAAACCCGTGACCCATTGATGGAGGGCTAGTGGTAGCAGAATGTCAAACGCCTTAACCACTTGGCCACCGCGGCCCCTCGTTTCTATACACAGAGTTTGATTGAGATAGGCATAAACAATCGTGGTCTATTTGACTGATAGTGATACAATCATTATACTTACCAAACCCATTGATCGCCCAATGTCTGCTGCTACGTCCTACAGAAGTAAACAGGAACTTATCACATACAAACCAACAAAGGTACAGTAACAGGTATACTAACATGAGAAGCTCAATGGTAAAACCAACTTTCCTATTTGATTTTTATGTATGAAAACATGTGCAATAACCATGTTGACCTTCGGACCCATCATTTCAATATCTTAATTTGTCTCATGTGAGGCATACTCGCCAACTTTTTGAAACTTCCATGGAGGAGATTACGTGTGCTCAGAAATGAAAGCATATATAAAATGTTCGTATGTACACCCTAGGGAAAAAAACGCACTTTTAAATGACGTGTGCAGAGCTGATGTTTCAGATAAAATCATCAGATCTTAGAAAATAGGAATAATTTAGTAAATTCACTGGTTTAAAATGCTCAATTTTAGGGTCCAAAATAGGGAGAGTTAATATTGGCAAAAGTATTGTGAGGATATCACAATATATTAAAAAAACAGTATACAATGTATCATGGTACACTGGCATATATCACATTTTATCACAATACAAAAATATTGCTGTGTCGCCATTTTTTTTAAAAGCTCTCTTATGTATTTGCTAGAAGTTTTAAACTTTGCAAATTACAACACATTCTAACAGATAGGCCATAAAAAATAAAAACAGGCCATTACTCGTGTTGGTAATCAGGTGAACTCTTATAGCCAATGGTTTATTTTGGTTTAACAAAAAGCTTCAATCTCTGTGATCCAAACAATATGACTCAGTTTGATAACAATTTGTTTAAAAATTGTGCATTAATGATAAGTGACATATTTGTATATGCATATATATTTCTTACCTATTTTCTTTCGATATTCAAGAAATGTAAAAATTCCAAACGCTAGAGGAACACCTGCAAATATGCAAACAGATACATTAAATAGTAATGTATACAGCTTATATATATATAATTATCACCAAAGAGTATTGTCCAATGACTCTGTATGTGCCTAAACAATGGTTTTCCACTTACCCTACCTACTGTAAATTTGTGTGCCAACCCTAAACATTATTTTTATTGGCATTTAGTGTTATGCACTGTTAAAGTCAGAACTCCTGCTCTATATAAAAACATTTTCCATAATAAAGATAATTGCTTTCATACCTACCCAGGGGTCGACACCTAACACTAGTCGATTAGTCATGGACTATTAGATTTCAGCAAGGGCTAGTGAATCACCTAACCTAACTGGTCCTTTCGACTTGTGAAAAATGCGATTATAGAATAAGAATATTCCGATTTAGAAAACTGTTTAAAATAAGATAATTTGCATGATAATTGTCAACATTTTCCCAAAACCTTTACCATATTTTTATGGCAGCTGTTATTTAAAGTCCCCTACTTTTGATGTTTCGTGCTGTAGATCGCGATGTTTCCTTATCAGGAAATCTTGGACTAGTTACATTGACGAAGGAAGTTAGTAACTAATCTATTAAACTAGTCCTGTAGACTACCAAGCAAAAACAGTTAGTGTCTAACCCTGCCTACCCCATTGTTTATGAGGATGATAGCAGAAACACAAATAGTTTTTGTTTTGGCCTTAAAAGTCATGCAAGCTTCACACCATATTTATACACTTTCCTGGTTAGTAAATTCTTGTCCAAGGCAACTTGCTGTTATACTTAACAATGTATCAAATAACCTTCTCACCATAACATCAAAAACTACCTTCTCACAATAACATCAACAACACAGTCATTATAGACAATTATAACAATATATCAGTCTTATAGTTCAGCTCATTTACTGGCATCCCACAGATCAGACCAGGAAAACATTAATTTTGTAATCGGTTATAACTAATTATATAACAAACAGTCTGCTGAAACAGAAAGTAGAGCTTTGAAGAGATAAAATAAAGGATTTTTAAGAATTTGTATGAGGACTTCACGCCTAATATTTCGTTTAAAATATTTCATAAAAAAAAAAAAAAATGTTTGTTGCTTTTATAACTCAATAGGAATCCATTTGCAAAATGTAACAAATGGCAAAATAAAAGACTGCAAGTAAAGCAACCAGTACATATTTTCTCTAACAGGATGCAAACACATTTTTTCCAAATTCAACCTGTATATAATGGCATATCATATATACCCTGGTATTCCGTCTTTGCGTATTGCAGAGTTATCTTCTCTTGGGAGCAGGTATTGATTGGTACGTCACTTAATTGTGAGCATAACGTCATCAATTTTTGAGAAACCAACGTAATTTTCTCACACAGACCAATGACTTACAAAACAACACCTCCCCCAAAGAGAAGATAACTCTGCAATACGCAAAGACGGAATATGCATACTGATGCTATGTTGAATATCAGTGCTTGATTGGAATATCAGCCAGTCACATACTGGAAGTTAGCAGTAATAGCACATGCAGCAGTACTTTCCTCAGGCCAATCTCTATTCTGTAATATTACCATGTTTCAAAATTAAAATCCATGAGCAAAATACTAATGTTCACAAAAAAAATTGAAAAGGTGTGAAGCTTACCTTTTAGTAGCTGCCCTTCAAGCAGGCAATCTCTGAAAAAGTGTGTCTCCTCACGAACTCTCTATCCAACACACAAACAACAAAAAGATACTTTCAGGATTATGATCAATGTTCAAGAACAATCACCAACAAGAGACCCAGAGGGCCTGTATCGCTCACCTTGATATTTGAGCAGTCATAGCCAAATATTCTCATTAAATTTTATACTGTACTAAAAAATATTTCAATCGCCAACTTTGGAGCTATTAGCCAAATATTATTATATGATTCTATTCTTTTTGGTTCTTCAGAAGAAGTTGTTTGCAGTGTTTGACATATTTGTCCCTGTAACCTAGTAAGTAGGTTGAGGTCATTTTCCTTCTCCAACTTTGTTGGCTCTATTCCAAGAAGCTACAAGCCAAATCATATGGATCCATGCCATATTGTTCTTCAGAACAAGTCGTTTGAAATGTTGTTGACCTCTGTGACCTTTAAAGTAGGTTGAGGTCATTTTCATTCTCAAACTATGGTGAGCTCTATTCCAAGAATCCACCAGCCAAATATGATTATATGCCTTTCCATTATTCAGAAGACGTTGTTTGATGTTTTAACATTTATTTGACATCTGTGACCTTAAAAGTACGTCAAGGTCATTATCATTCGCAAATTTTGTTGTGCTCAATCCAAAGAAGTTACCATACCAGCCAAAAATTAAGATTCTTAACCTTTCAATTCTTCAGAAGTCATTTGAAGGGTTTGACATATTTGACCCCTGTGACCTTGAAAGAATGTCAAGGTAATTTTCACTCGTAGACTTTGTCGGGATCCATGCCATGAAACTACCAGCGAAATACTAAGTTCTATACCTTCCAGTTCTTCAGAAGAAGTCCTTTGAAACATTTGACACATTTGACCCCTGTGACATAGAAAGTAGGTCACGGTCAATTTTGTTCTCAAACTTTTGTCAGGCTCTTATCAACAAAGGTTTCAGCCAAATATCATGACTCTTATTCGGCCCATTCTTCAGAAAAAGTTGTTTAAAGAAAAAGTTGACAGACAAAGCCTGACTGATGGATGACAGATACAGCGCCACGACATAAGCTCACTTGCCCTTCTGGCAGGTAAGCTAAAAACAGAATGAAAATAGGTTGAAAAGCTACCAGCAGTGTGCAGTATTTTGTTTTGAGTACTTCTTGCAAGCAGATTTTGAAAAACATCTATGTTTTCAGACAATTTAACTACTCATAAACATCCAGAAGCACCAGGTCAGGTGTTTGACTAGTTTATTATACATCCCTGGCTACAAGAATGAGCCAAACTAGATAGTACCCAAATCTGTATAGTTCCCAAAACTGTATAGGTACTGGATAATACCCAATACTGGATAGTTACTGGATAATACCCAAACCTGGATAGGTACTGGATAATACCCAGACCTGGATAGTTACTGGATAGTACCCAAAACTGGATAGTTACTGGATAATACCCAAAACTGGATAGGTACTGGATAATACCCAAACCTGGATAGGTACTGGATAATACCCAGACCTGGATAGTTACTGGATAGTACCCAAAACTGGATAGTTACTGGATAATACCCAAAACTGGATAGTTACTGGATAATACCCAAACCTGGATAGGTACTGGATAATACCCAAACCTGGATAGTTACTGGATAATACCCAAAACTGGATAGGTACTGGATAATACCCAAACCTGGATAGGTACTGGATAGTACCCAAAACTGGATAGTTACTGGATAATACCCAAACCTGGATAGGTACTGGATAATACCCAAAACTGGATAGTTACTGAATAATACCCCAAACTGGATAGGTACTGGATAATACCCAAAACTGGATAGGTACTGGATAATACCCCAAACTGGATAGGTACTGAATAATACCCCAAACTGGATAGGTACTGGATAATACCCAAAACTGGATAATATCCAAACCTGGATAGGTACTGGATAGTACCCAAAACTGGATAGGTACTGAATAATACCCAAAACTGGATAGGTACTGGATAATACCCAAAACTGGATAGGTACTGGATAATACCCAAACCTTGATAGTTACTGGATAATACCCCAAACTGGATAGGTACTGGATAATACCCAAAACTGGATAGGTACTGGATAGTACCCATAACGAATCCTTACTAATAAAATAATTCTTTCACAAAAATAGCAAAGTCTGTCTTAAGACATAGTACAACAGCTGTTGGAGAACAGCATAGCTTGCCTATAGATAATATATATGTTCAATATTATAAGATAGCAAATATCAATAGAAACACATGTACAGTAAAACCTGTGAGGAGTTCTTAAGGGAATTATAATAATAAGGTTTCTTAAAATTTTGTAGTTATAAGTAAAGAAATTGTTCTACCACATAATAAATATAGGTTGTGAGAAAGCCGGTTTCCTGAAGTACAGAAATATAGACACGTGTGACTCATTGATAAAAAACCCAATTGAATTTATGCCTGGATTGCTTTGAAATACTTTAATATTGAGAGAACACACTGTTCTGTCAATAATAAACATACAATACTCACCAGTTTCATATTAAACAATGGACAAAACATAAACATAATGACTCATTACACAGTAATTATAGTACAGTGTATTTCTGTATTCTAATATTCTGTCAAAAATGACAACTCTTTAGAAATATAATTATCAACAATATTTTCTACTTATTTTTCCTGTATTTTTGGCACTTTGTAAAACAAAATTAGAATATGCGGAAATTGTGATACTGTCTCCCTACATTGTATTTTCAACAAGGGATGTACTTCCTATTTCCGTTTATCAATACACTCATTCGACCTTAAGCAAGCCGATCTAAGGGAGGCAGGTGCGGGTAGGGTTAAAGAGTCCTAGGGGATTGGTACTGGTAATTGTAATCTTACACCTGTGGCTAGGAAAGGTTCACAACATATTGACACCTCCTATCAAATTCATACCTGAACTCTAACAGGTAACAAGAGGCCCAATGGGCCTGAATCGCTCACCTGGTATTAATCTCACACTTGTAATCTTAAAAGTGGACTAATAAACAGCTACAGGCAAAATATCTGTGTTCGATCCATTTGAATCTATTAAATGATTTAAACATATGACGCCTGCGAACTTGAAAGTTTATAGCCTTCCGTCCCGGCATATTTCTGGCTAAATATCATTACCCTGGACCTTTTAAATATTCAGAACAAGTCATTTAAAGATTTAAACATATTTGATCCCTTTGACCTTGAATATGAGCAAAGGTCATTCATTTGAACAAACTTGGTAGCCCTTCATCCCTGCATGTTAATGGCCAAATATCATCATCCAAGGCCTTTTGGTTATTGAGAAGTTGTTTAAAGTTTTTAAACATATTTGACCCCTGTGACCTTGAAAATAGATGAAGATAATTCATTTGAATAAACTTGGTAGCCCTTCATACCAGCATGTTACTGGCCAAATGTCATTAGCCTATGCCTCTTGGATATTCAGGAGAAGTTATTTTAAGGTTTTAAACATATTTGACCCCTGTCACCTTGAAAATAGGTGAAGGTCGTTTGTTTGAACAAACTTGGTAGCCCTTCATCTGAGCATGATACTGGTCAAATATCATTGTTCTAGGCCTCTTGAGTATTCAAGAGAAGTTATGTAAAGGTTTTAAACATATTTGACCCATGTGGCCTTGAAAATAGATGAAGGTCATTGTTTGATCAAACTTGGTAGCCCTTCATCCCAGCATGTTACTGGCAAAGGCCTTTTGGTTATTGAGAAGAAGTTTTTAAAAGATGTTTAACATATTTGATCCCTGTGACCTTGAAAATAGATGAAGGTCATTTGTTTGAACAAACTTGGTTGCCCTTTATCCCAGCATGTTACTGGCCAAATATCATTATCCTAGGCTTCTTAGTTATTCAGAAGAAGTTGTTTAAAGGTTTTAAACATATTTGAACACTGTGACCTTGAAAATGGGTGAAGGTCATTTATTTGAACAAACTTGGTAGCCCTTCATCCCAGCATGTTACTGGCAAAGGCCTTTTGGTTATTGAGAAGAAGTTTTTAAAAGATGTTTAACATATTTGATCCCTGTGACCTTGAATATAAGTCAAGGTCATTCATTTGAACAAAATTGGTAGCCCTCTATTACAGCATGCTACTGGTCAAATAGCATCATCCTATGCCTCTTGGTTATTGAGAAGAAATTGTTTAAAGGTATAAAACATATTTGACCCATGTGACCTTGAATACAAGAGGCCCAATGGGCCTGCATCGCTCACCTGGTATAAAACTCACACTTGTAACCTTAAAAGTGATCTAAAATAAAGCTACAGGCAAAATATCATTATTTATGATTAAAATTCGTTCAAAAGACCCTGTTATTTTTTTTTTAAACATTTCACCCCTGTGATTGAAAGTCGAACAAAGTCATTATGTTGAACACATTGTATAGCCTTTCATCTCAGGATGCAACTTGCAAAGTATAAACATCCTGGGACCCATGGTTATTCATAAGAGGTTGTTTAAAGATTTTAAACAAATTTGACCCCTGTGACCTTGAAAATAAGTCAAAGTCATTCACTTTAACAAACATAGTAGTCCTTGATCCCAGCATATGCTACTAACTAAATATCAACAGCCTGAGCCTTTTGGTTATTCAGAACAAGTTGTTGAAATATTTTAAACATATTTGCTCCTTGTGACCTTGAGTATGATTCAAGGTCATACATTTAAACAAACTTGGTAGCCCTTGATTCTAGTATGCGTACGACTAAATATCATCACCCAGGGTATTTTGGTTATTCAGAAGAAGTTGTTTAAAGTTTTTAACATGTTTGACCCCTGTGACCTTGAATATGGGTGAAGGTCATTTATTTGAACAAACTTTGTAGCCCTTCATCCCAGTTTGCTTCTGGGCAAATATCATCACCTTAGGCCTTTCGGTTATTAAGAAGAAGTCGTTTAAAGTAAAATATTGATGCCGGACGACGGACGCCGCACCACGGCATAAGCTTCGTGCCAGGTGAGCTAACAATTACATGTAAACACACTAATTAGTCGCCCTCATCATAAGTACTTGACATAATGTGCATTTTTTACACATGGATTCCTTAATAAACATCTATTTCATTATTCAGATGTACTTCCAATTTAATATAATCAATATAATTGCTGAAAACTAAGTAAAATTGTCACCAATACTTTGTGCAATTATAAACAAAATCTATAGTAAACTCTGTATCAATCAAACAACTAGAAAGTAGAAAGCCGATACAGCCTATATGCACGGCCGCAGCCAAAGTCTTTTGACGGATAGATCTCTGAGAACAACAGGCTCATGCTTGTGTTTGCGAGATCTGTGTGAATTGCGAATCTCTGGCTTTATATATCTCTGATCGGAAGAGAGATAAAGTTTCCATTATGGAGGTCGATTCAGATTTCAATTACCCTCGCTACATTAACTTGATAATTTCAATGGCAATTTAGATAGGGTTTAACATCAAGTTACATACATGTAGGAGATCAACAGAAATAGTTAATATTGCAAACCAGTGTATGGATGCCGATCAATGTGCTGTCATGCTAAAATCGCCCGGTATGATTCACACCGGGCTTGATCCATTCCAAGGCATGGGGCAGAGGAGGCTAGGTTTTAATACTAATAGTACTAGACCTGAAGTCCATTTCCACTACCACACATCAAAGGAGTTGTTTACGAAGTTGATTACACTTTTTTAAAGCTTACAACTACTTTTAGATTTAATTTTGAAATGCACTTACTTCACTCTCTGAGAGTGTAATACCTTGTCCTATGTCACGGTGGTCAAGCTAGTGGTTTAGCTTGACATGTACATATTTGATATTGAATTGCTATTTTATAAATAAGTTCGAATCTGGAAAACCCATATACCCATTTAGAATAGTGCACTCGTGTGACATTGGTGCCTAACGTGGGGCCAATGTTTAACAGAGGTCATTATTTTTTCAATGCCTCCGCTAGGGGACATCCAGGTAAATACGGACAGACGGGAACATACGGACAGTTCTTATATGGACCATACATAATCCATTACATATGATTAAATCAATCTCTGTTTATGCTAGCCTAGATCGATCTTCTAGTATGGATGTTTGACTGTTGACGGACAGTACGTAGAATATCCCAAAGTCTAAAAATAGCAATGAAGTGTCTAATAGTATTCGTCGGCATGCATAATATGCGAGCACCTTGCGACACGTCCAGAAACTTGATTGTTGGAAACGACGTCCGAAAACCAAGTACGATTCGATACAACAGTTATGTAACAATTATCTCCACAAAAACCAAATACATACTCTGTATACTTTATATTGTACTCTTAATGTTGTTACTTACATATTTTAAGATTGCAGTAGTATATCAAAATAAAAATTTGAGGAAGAACTGTTGTGTCTGAGGCGTCCGTAATTTCTCCCAGATTTTTATTAGGTGGGTAAGTACGGACAGTTCTTAATTGATTTATTATTATTTAGATGGTTCTTACAGAGGTATTTTTTGACTCCAGTTATCAAAAAAAAGTTTTTACGTTGATTTCTGTTTACAAGCAAACCACATTTTGGACTCGCCAAGATCACTAAACAAAATAGCAGCATGCCAGCGCTCAAACTCAAAGAATGTCGTTGCGAAAAGGCTGTGACCGGGGAGGTAATTATGGTCACAAGTACAAACTATCCGGTACATTGTATGCCGACATGATAAGAACATGAACTTGGAGCAGAACATGTAGCAATCCCTGGCGAAACATTGTGAACAGTTTCTATGGTTTGATTTGGTGAATGCATGATTAGAGTAGCGTGTCTGTAATTACCCTACAGATGTCCGTTTCCTATATATTCAGTGTTTTGGTTTATATTTTAGTGTCAATTTACCGACTTATCACAAGTTGTAACTAACAAAGCAACAGAAAGGGACCCTAATGCTGACAAACATGTTCATAAAATATCTATGCTAGATCGCACATAGCATGTTGATAAACTGTACCTGGGAGCCTAAATTATCAGTCATCATTTGAAAAGTGTCCGTATTTACCCGGATGCCCCCTAGGAGTCGAACCCGGGACCTCTGGCTTACTAGCTTACTCTCTAAAGAGTAATTCTACGTTACTCTCTAAAGAGTAGTCCGAATTATTCTGACGTTTTTTCGACTTTTTTCATATCGGTCTGCAGACCTGCTAACCTTTGAATCTCCCAATGGGGGTCATGACCCCCATTGGGAAATTCTGTGGGGGGTGATAACGCGCGAACGAAAATTTGTGTGGAAATTTAATAATTTTGCGGGGTCTCGGCTTTACGGCGTATTATGTTTTGTCTTCTGGCAAGATCAATGACTTTTTTGAAATTAACAAAACATTTTATCACACCTTCATTGTTTTATTACATATTCTTAATCAATATACATGTTTTTCTTTTCCTAGGTGCATACTGAAAGCATGAACCATGTTGATTTAGTTTTGCACATAACAAAGCACATATTGTATCATTTCCTAATTCAGATCTCCCTTCTGTCTGGATCTTCTTCAACATGGAAAATGTTCTCTCAGAGTCAGCATTACTCACTGAAAGTACCAAACATGCCTTCATTAGCCTACACAACACACCAAACCTAAGATCATTCTCAAAGGGTTCTTTAACTGCATGCCTTTTGATATCGTACGTAGCACCCGAAGCTACCGAAAAATGATTGGTACACAGTTTACAATAGGCATGATCCGGTCCAATATTACTCTCCTGAAGCCAGTGATAATCTTATTCCCACGAAGCATTGTAATTACAGGCATACTTTTTCTTTTTTGACGATGAACACTAAAATAACGAACGTTTTCTCGGGTTAGAAGCCAATTGTGAAAGTGAAATGACAAGCGCTACGATCGGGATTATATGCATTGTAGTAACAGTGAACAGTACTCACCTTTTGAATTTGCCAGGCTGGTTCCGAAACGGACGCCATTGTGAAAACAAATCACTTAGTATACAGATTTACCTATCACTCAAAGCTAAACTTCCGAGAGACACGAACGGAACATTTCCGGAAGTACAGAAATCCTAATAATAGACGCGGATGCGGGTCATATTTATGGAATGCGGGAGATACGTATGACCCGCACAGGTCATAAGATCGTCGCGGGTGATAGGTTCATTTTGCGGGTGTGACCCGCAGAATGCGGGTCATTTAGCAAGTATGGGTCTGTCGTCGATTAACGTCAGAATTCCGGCCCTCTATAATATGCGGGAAATATGCGACCCGCGCCCGGAGCGCACTTCAAACTGATATTTTAGAAACAACTCGTCACTTTCACACACATGTCGCACATGAATCGAAAGATCTATTCTTTATGTACAAGATGAACATACATAACATGCCTCAAACAACCAATACAGTCACTAAAAACATATTTTTTCAAACTTACTCTGTTTTACTCTAGTTTTTTGATAGCCCCGCCTTCTAATGCCACGTGACTAAAATCTCGCCGGCCTACGTCATAACGTTTGGAAATACCTTCGGTAACGCGAGATCTCGTCAAGTCATGTGACATTGCTCATGGCCTAATTTCCATTAAAAACATGGGTTGGTATAGAAAACGTTGGAAAATACTTTTCTTAATGATCTTTGAAACATGTTATTGATACCACCTAGTGCATAAAGAAAATATCTTTCGATCCATGTGCGACGTGTGTGAAAGTGACGATTTGTTTCTAAAACATCAGTTTTAAGTGCGCTCCGGGCGCGGGTCGCATATTTCCTGCATAGTATAGAGGGCCGGAGTTCTGACGTTAATCGACGACAGACCGATATGAAAGAAGTTGATAAAACGTCAGAATAATTCGGACTATCTAAAGAGTAATTCTAGCCACTTCCTACCGACGCGGCTAGTATTTTACAGGGTGACAGTAAAAATTAAATATATTTAGTTCTTCCACAGGTACTAGCCTCGTCTGTCAATACACCATTATTGGTGCATTGCTAGACGAGTCTATTTCCTGTGGGTCTTCTATGTACCTGCAATGAACAGTGGTGGAGTGGATGTAAACACGGTAACCTAAAGGTCATTGTATGATCGTCTCTTACCGGGCGTATTCAGCTCTAAAGTTAACTAATGAACCCATGGTATCAAAATATTTTTTTATGTTACAATAGGCAAGCGTACACTGACTGTCAGATTCTACCTGTGCATGTGCAACTTGATCTTCTGTAGGTGCAGACATAGTCCCTGCAGACATCCCCGAGTGCAACAAACGGCAGGTGCGACGAATCACCGAAACGGACCGAATCGTACCGAAACGGAACCGAAACAATGAAACCGAAACGGAGTCGAAATGGAAACCATAAGCTATTTAAAGGGACTTCAATACATGCATAGTTTAGATTGTGTTTGAACAGAACTGACCCCGATCACAACCGAAACGAAAGTGTAAATGATTATTTTTTTTGGTAAATTTGAGCTGTTTCTTTATTTGTCGTGCATATATTGTGTATTATTTTCAATTTATTTACCGCTTAAAATATTGATAAAGTTGTCCATTTTAAAGGACCAATCCATACTTATCTCAGCATAAAAAAATACTTGTGACGGTATAGACACACTGTTTAATTTTGTGTAAATGGTTCTAAGATTTACAAATGGATAATTATATCAACATTTTCAACATAACAAAAATTCGGTACACAAATAGAACACAATTATGTTGAAAATGTTGATATACCAAAAACAAGGTTACCGCGAGCGGTATATAATACGCCCTTCACACATTGAATGAGCAGTTGTTTGTATGATTGAAATATATGAAGTATTTGTGAGTAATTGATATTAGAGAAATCATTCAACATAACTGGTAGATCAATGAGTGCAATACAACATCATGGAACGCATGCATGGCATTAATGAAACCAAGGGTAATAACTCCAGTAATTACGGTCGGATAATGGCGGTTATCAAACTTGTTCGAGGGTTCATGGTAATTAATCTTGTTGTGAAGTTTGAAGTTAATCCTTTAATACTTACTTGAGATATCGTGCGGACACTGTTTCGAGCGGACACTGTTTCGGCAAGTCCATAAAGGGGCATTCCCCCACAAATTATGGTCGGATAATGACGGTTATCCAACTTGTCCGAGGTTTCATGGTAATTACCCTTGTTGTGAAGTTTGAAGTTAATCCGTTAATACTTACTTGAGATATCGAGCCGACATCGTTCGCATGTCCGCCCGACCGCCCGCCCGCTCACGTGATAACATAATACGTCCCCGTCTTCGACGGGCGTATACAAACCCATTTACAATTTCGTTTTGGTTGTGATCGGGGTCCGTTTTGTTCACACACAATCTAAACTGTATTGAATCCCCTTTAAATAGCTTATGGTTTCCATTTCGACTCCGTTTCGGTTCCGTTTCGGTTCCGTTCGGTCCGTTACGGTCCGTTTCGGTGATTTGTCGCACCAACAAAGGGCAGCCATGAAAAGCTGGCCCCAACGCACTCACATCGTTGCGTATTTTTCTACCGGAAGTATAACCTTAACTAGCACCAATATAAAATTTATCAAAAAGTGATTTTATATATTCAAATAGAAATTATGATATTAACTGATAAATTTTAAGAGATTGATATTAGAAACCACATACCACTTTACTAGAACTACTAAAATGGCTGGTATAGTTAACAGTTAAAGCATGGGTATGAGGGATATAGCAAGTTTATGATCCCCCGAGGCCAGGACTATTTCCCGAGGCGAAGCCGAGGGAAATAGTCCTGGACGAGCAAGTGTATCATAACCTTGCTATATCCCGAAATACCAATGCTTTAACTGTTTTATTATACCGATACAAACACTCCCTTACAATATTCTAAATATTATTAGACAACAAATTTTCAACACTTGGAACACTTTATTAACAAAACTCAAATTTTCTTGAGAATCAACATCAGAAAAAAACATCTTCGTTCCTGTTCTTTATAAAATGTTTCTGTATACCAAACCGCATAGTCGTCATAGATTTTTTGGCATATTTTTTCCCATCCTGCTTTCGAAGCTCGGCATAAACACGCTTCAGCGTCGCATCACAATTCTCCACTGTGCCCGTTTCCATGTCCGCGATATCCAAACCCTTTTCAGTGAGGTAGCTAGAGAGCAATGTAACGGATGCCTGTACTGTTTTTTGTGTGTTCCAACTGTCTTTTGTCTCCAATATGCCGACAACTCGCTCTCGTCCAACACACAAAATCTGGGGGTCGCCATTTCTGTTGTCGTCTGTCAACAACAATGCGAGGGGAAGGTCGGTCCAGAAAGTACCGGCTCCGCTGGCCGGAAATTGCCGATGTAATTCGATTGCGCTGATTGGTCAACATTCGGTCAGGCCCCGCCCACGACGTCACTCAACTTCCCGCATTTTTCCGAGGGAAATATTTTCAAAACTATCGCACCCCTCCAGACGAACTATTTCCCTGGGAAATAGCTTGTTTATATGGCTACTTTTGTATAGTGTAAAATAAGTAGAGGTATAATAATCCCGAGTAATGAGTCCGGCAAAAACGGCAGCTGTGAACGGTATAGCAGTTAATCGGTAGCCGCAGAGTTGCGTATTATTTTAATCGGAAATGAAGTATGTGAAAGTGAAAGTAGAAGTTCAGTGTCAACAAATATACGACTAGTTGTAGCGTGATTTACATTATTTTAAAAAGAAATAGGAGGTATATATAGGGGTAAGTGGTGGAGAAAGGGTTATTAATATGTATTTCACAACGGAAGGAAAATAATTACTGCATGTATAACTTACTGTTTAGTCATTAAAATGTTTAGATCTGTGGTGAATTTTGGTTAGAGTTATCTCCCTTAGACCAGTAACCGCGCCGACAACCTGGATGTGACATCTCGGCGCGGTCTCTTATAATTCTTGATCTACAACATACAACACGTGAGTGATTTTCCTCCACCTTGCTATTTGATTTCAGGAGCTGAGAGCAGTTACAACTACTTGTTGTGACGGTTTGTGAATAACACACACCGAATTCACGACAATTGGTGTCATAAGTGAGAAAGAACTCACGCTATTCGCGCTATTTTGACATTTTTTTCTATATGTTTTTTTCTACTTTGCTGGTCCCCTCTCGCTCGCACGTGCGCTGGCCATTTTGTTGACCAGTGCGCGAATTACGAGTGAGAGATTTTGGGACAGTTCTAGTAGTTTATTAATGTTTATTTCGTTATTTATTAGGGGTAATTCAGAGTCGGCGGTGTTTTCACTGCCGTTCTGAAATTTATATTTTATTTAATTTAGTTTACTTGTTAGTTTTTCACGGAACTCCATTCGCCTGTATAGTGGGCCGCCCATATTGGCGGAATACATATGACAGGCGAGACTTGAGTTATCGTTAGAATAGGATATTATTTTTATATTGTAGGGAAATTATTATATGCTTAGTTAGGTTATTATTACATTAGGTTAGAAATTAGTTATTTTAGGAATTAGAGATTATTTTGTAAACTGTAAATCGTAGTTGTAATTGTTGGAATTTTGTACGGGACGGTTGCACGTGTCTACCATAGCACCGTTGAATCTGTCCTTGTACATAATTTGGTACTTGTTTAATTAAGTGTGTTGGCTTATTTCTTTCTTGGATTTTTTTTGATATTTAGAAATGACAGCCATAATAAATGTACGCTCAGCTACAGAAGTTGAGTTGTGCACGTTGGAGGGTTTAGGCCCTACAACGGCAAAAAAAATCATTGAGATGAGAGGTGACGGCGACCTCACCCTACAAAAACTTTCTCAAGTTCGAGAGTAGGAATTGAAAAGTGGCAGGAATGGCTAAATGAGGGGGTCATAACGGGGATAAGAGTCAATGCCCCTGTGGAGGTGCATTCACCAACCCGGTCGACCTCATCACGGGCAGATAGGCTAGACAGACAGGAGGACGAGGTTATGGACATAAAGCAGGAAGTTAAGGAACTGCGGGTCCAATTCAGGGAGTTAATGGTAACATTGGAGACGGAGGCTCTTAGAAAATCAGAGAGTCTGGCGGCTCGTGCTGCCTCGCCTCCGAAAAAGAGCTCTACTCCCGGCACTATGCTACTGACTACACCTAGTGGTGGTCAGTATGTCAGCCAGAGGCCACAAATAAATAGCTGGTCACCCTGGGGGGATAGGGGTACCACTCATGCTACCTCAACCTCCGTGCCACCATACTCGAACTCGCAGACAATGATTCCTAAACAGAAGGAGTCAGAGTTTGACCCTATCTTACAAGCTATCCCGAAGGATGGAAGGTATGTAAGGGGTCAAGATCAGGGTGCCCATGTATCAACATGGACAGCTGGAGGTGCCAATGCACCCATTGCACCCATTGCTTCTAAGTGGGGGTTTAAGCTGGAATCGGCCCCAAAAGTTGAAGGGGAAATGAGTCTGCCCTTGTCATGCCTATCATCGGACAATGAAAAGGGGGCTGACTTCCTGTTGGAAGATGTCAAGCCTAGTTTGA